CCGTGGGAACCGGCCCGGGACTTTGGTGGCCAGGGAGCGGCTGGGAAGGAAGACCAGGCGAGGCAGTGGGGCATGACGGACTCTGGGGAGGGGCGGGGTTGGACTGAAGGAACTTTAATCAGGGCAGGGCGGATGCTGGCTTGTGGCTGGGGGCGGGAGGCTGGGGCGTGGCCCCTCTATTTACAGCACTGGGAGCAAGCCACTCCCAGTGCTGACTTTGTTTCAGACCGAATAAACTTCAACTGAATGCACACCGTACCTGCGTTTTGGGTTTTGCTCAGTCGGCAACGGACGGTGTGACAGTATCACTTGAATGTTCAAACCTGAAGGGAGAGAAGATTCCAATGACAATGAATGAAAACAACTAGTTTCTTTTGGTATTTCTTTTGGTACAGCTCATTCTGTTCTGTGCATCCAATCTATGATGTTGAAAGACAAGAGTTCTCATGATAGCCCAGTCATACGGAGGAACTGGCCTCTAAATGGAGGAAGACCCAAGGGAATTTTACAACAATGTAGCAAGAGAAAGCTTTCATACATGGGAAAAGGTGTAAGACGCATGGGAGAAAGTAATAATTCAGGCAGTCTTGGTAGCAATGCTTATTTATACGTTATCCACTATCCTTCCAAGAACTTTTTTTAGTTAGAATGGGGTAGTCTGCAGGGTTGGATTCTCATGTCTAGAGTACTGAGACAGACATCTATTAATATTCCAGGTGAGGGGATCATAGCAAAACTGAGAATCAATCACTACAGAACCAATCATGACCGCAGTGTATGTGTTACCATTATAACCAACTTTATGCTATCAGAGCCAGTGGATTCTAACAAAAGAATGGTGCACTAATGAAGAGGAAATTTTTAGTGTTACTTTATAGGTAGTCTTTGTTTAGTGTGGTGTTTCTCAACCTTGACAATTTTAAGGCATGTGGACTTCAACTCCCAGAATTCCACAGCCAGCATTGTTGGCTGTGGAATTCTGGGAGTTGAAGTCCACATGCCTTAAAATTGTCAAGGTTGAGAAACACTGGAACTTTAGTGGCTGCCTTATAGAGGACCATTTGCAATTCCATAGTGATGAAAAAGTAACTTTATGACCAATCTCACATTTATGATCTTTGTATATCTGTAAAGCAGAGGAAAACTGAAGTAAAATGGCTGATTCCAATTGTGATCACTAAGTGAGGGCTACCTATGTATTTTTTTTATATTTTGTTTTAAATAGAGGCAGGTTTCAATGGGTTTTTTTTATCGAAATTCAAAGTGAATTTTGAAACACAGACTGCCATGTGAGAATGGAGATTCCAATTTTGGCTTTATTTAGTCCAGGCACGCTCAGGAGACTTATATTTTGAGAAAGCTTCCAGATGTGGGATTGTAGAAAATGCATTTAAGAAATAAAGTATTCAGCAATAAATTAAGAGTTCACTCAGGAGAAATATTAAAGAAGCGCTGCTCTGATTAATAAATGCATCACCGTTATTCAGTTGCTGCCTGAAATGTTCCTTAATCCTGATTCTTTTCCTGACTAATTAAATATGGACATTTTTAAGTTAGCAAAGCAATAGCAAATAGAGGCTTTACGATACAGGAAAGCACATCTGCAGGCATGTAGACTTTTTGTTGGAAACTTTCAACTCTTTCAACAGAAGTAAAACAAAACAGCTCTTCCATTTTTGTGGTCATACAACATAAATAGAGTTTGCTTTTTTATGTGAATTTTGTATAACTCAAATAATTACAATAGACTATACAGTATATTGGTATTCAGCATTCTTATATGGGAACTAATCAGCTATAAAAAGTCTTGGTTTAAAATACTGTTGAATATAGAGTGGTCTGATTTATAGTATAGCAATGGGCTATAGTAACCCCTGCAAAACTATATATTGTATAAACCAGTTTTCCAGAATGTGATGTTACCACTCAAAATTAGTTCCACCTTGAAATTTCAGTCTTAAAATATTGTACAGTATCTTTAGCCTCTCCTGGCAAGAACAATAAAGTGCAGAAATAAGTAACACTGAATTAATTCCAACAGCCATGCTTAACCCTGCCAAATACATTCTAAACAGTATTCCCGTTTCTCCGTTTTTGGCTCTTTTCCTTTGCAGTCTCTCAAATGTCCTCTCATCATCATGGGTGTGCATGAAACAGAAAACGAGTTCCGTCTGTAACTTGAAACAAAGCATTACATTCCAGAAGTGAATTTGCCTCATTTCAAGTCAGTCTTGGTTTCATAGAAACAAAGGTGTCTGCAAATTTTGGTCAAAAAATCAAGATGGTGGCCACGGCAGCTTGCATCACATAAAAAACCCAGGCACTGTCATACCATTGTATTGGCTTTTTTGACCATGCCCTATGGACACCCCTGGGCAGAAAAAAAATCTGAATTAATGTAGTGGATTCACTTTCAACAGAAATAAAACCCAGAGCAGTTTCAGATGTTTCAGGCATGGAAAATTGGGATCTGGAAGGGCTGCAAAAAATTGGACAACCACCAGATACAAGCAAAACGTTACAGAACATTCTCTGCTGTCATCTAGTGGTCATCTGTATTTTCACAGCGCAGATGTGGTAACTCCCTTGAAACTAGAACAAACATTTGTGCCTGGGGTGTAGGTATTTTCACTGCAAGGAATGTAAGCAGAAACACTGGTTCTGTGTTTTATCTCTCACCCAAGAGACCAACTTTTAATTTAACTACCTCTTAAGGGCAGAAGGATATACTGGAAGAAATAAAATAATTAACTCTAGTTGGTCCCATTTAAGAAAATATTTTCCCCTAAATCTACATCTAAAACTGATCTTGCAGACAATCAAGGATAACTCTGTTCATTCTTCCATTTAAAAATTTACCTGAAACAGGCTGCCAAAAAACAAAATAAGGAATTTTTTGGTTTCTATCTGGTAACTTAATGATTAGTGACAGGTAGTTCCCCAGAAGACAAGCTTCACACCACACAAATATCCCTCACTGCCTGGCTGCCAGCTTTTATATCCTAAATGTAAATTACATTTACATCAATAGTCCTCAACAGCACACAAAATGAAAGAGTGATCATGAAGGGTACACACATCCTTGCTTAGCAAAACAACTCTTCTTTTTACACTTGAAGTGCTAAAAGGGTAGGAGAACTGCAGTATGCAGATCAAAATTCAAGGGCAAACATGCCTTTGCAGAAAAATGTTCCCATCAGTATTGCAAAAAAAAGCATGAGCAAAATGCACACTTCCCACTGTTTCTGCTTTGCTTAGTAGGCTAACCATGACTTTTCTGGATTTGAAATGCACTATGAAATCTGTACAAACAATAGGGGCAAGAAAGTGCAGTGTACAGAATGCAGGAATGAATAATGTTACCAAAATTTAAAAAATCCAAATGAGTCAAATGAGCCAAAGCACACCATCAGCATAGAACTTTTGGGGAAGGAAAAAATAATATTGATGATTTCTACTGGAACGATGGCCTGCTTCTGGATATCGCCTTCATTACTGTCTTTGATCCAGGATGATCAGGTATTGAGGTTCAGCTGCTTCATCACTGGTTATTCTTGAAAATAGATGAGTCATGGGAATCAGACTTGGGAAAGAAAGGAGCTTTAGGAGGGATGGGAGTTGAATTTCTGCATTCAGATGTGCTAGATAAGCCCATGTGGAGCTTATTCTACATAAGACCGAACTTATACATTCAGTCAGTGGTTGCTCAGAGAGACTGAAAGGGATAGTCAGATGAACCATACGGTTCTTACTCAGTGCACCTTTCTCAGTATCACCTGTTCCACTGACCAAATTGGTCATTGGTCAGTGGAGCAAGCTTGATACATGTGAGTTGATATTTTAGAGGCAGCAATTGCCCTTCGCTATTGGACACAACTAGGTATTGAGCAGATTGCTAGCAATCGGGAGGATATGGTAAATGGCTGGCCCTCAGCTGTTTGAGGAAATCCATAAAAATATATTTATCACAGGTTTGTTTCACCAAGTCATCACTCAGATCTGAATGACAAAATGTCATAAATGATCTTCCCTAGAAAACAGCATCTTATCAGTTGGGATGCTGTTGGTAGACAAAACATGTAACTGGGCAACTGTCACTGATTACCCAAAATCGGGGGGGGGGGGGGAAAGGAGGTTTGTCCCTTACCATCCCAAACTAGTTCAGTTAATACAGAATTGTGCAACCTGCATTGCTAATTGCAGCAACAGTCCTCTTTTCTTCCTGGCAATGTGCCACACACGCTACCCCACCTTCAGGCTCATGCCTTTAGGCCTGTCTTCAATGAGTTTCAATCCTCAAGTTCCAACATGCACGATTTTATAACGTCTGTCACATCTCCCTTTACCCTCCATTCTAGGCTAAAGGACCAATTACTATAATCTTTCCTATATAGGGAAGGTGCTGTATTATTCCATTTTTCTCTTTGCATCTTTTCTATTTTTTTTAAAGCTTAAAGATCTGTACTATACAAGGTTTAACGTTCCAAATGTAGTTTCATTATAGATTTATATAATAATATGTTGGCAATTCTATTTGGTTTGCCAATAGTTGCGGGCATAGAATTTGACTTTTTTTTCTTTTTTTTTACTTATTTTTACCCACTGGCACCTGACCTACAAGCCTGTCCTTTTTGTTTCTTAATCTTAAAAGCACCCTGATCATTGAGGTAACACTTGGGAAATTATAGGATGTGTTTTCACCGCGAACGAATGCTATTTTATTTCAGAAAAATAGGAAAACAGCAACCTATTCCCTCCCCCTCCCCCCGCTTTTTCTCAGTAAGCTTCCAAAAGGAAAGAGGGGAATTGATATCTCTGGGCTCTTCGTAAGGCGCCTGTTCTTCGGAAATCGATAGCTCGGTATTCTTTTAACTTTGATTATTTTCCCTACCAGTAACTAGTAGATCGGTTATTCGGTGTTCTTCGTTAGGGCTGTTCATCGATTCGCTCGGCGGGTAAACACGGTACGGTGAGCGTGTGCGCGTTTTGTCGGCGGCGCAGACGTGGAAGTGCACCGGAGGGGAAGCGAAGCTATTACCATTGGTTCCTCCTTGTCACGGTAAAACCAGCAGCTTTTAGGCTTCAGGTACCAAAGCGCTGGTGGGACGTTGGGAAGAGAAGCCCATTCTTTTCCCGCGTAGCCTGCCAGTTATCATTTATTTCCGTTGCGACAGGAGGATAAAGAAGAGCATTCTTGGATTCGCATGCTTATTAGGTATAAAATTGATGTCTGGCTTTTCCAGCAGAGTTTTTAACACGGGGGTTCATTCACGTGGAGCATATTTTGCCTGCTTGCCGTGGCAGTACTAAGGCTTAAGAACACAGCAGATAATAAACTGAAATAAAAATGAGGTAATAAAGTCTATGAGCAAGAGAAGAATATCTCTTCTCAGCTCAAAGTGACCAGGTCTTCCGCTGCTCTAACTCAAAAAACAAAGGTTTAACACAAGAATGGGAAATGTATAATCTTTCAGAGGTTGACCTACACAGTTTTCTGCATTTTCCAACATTGGCTACACTAGTTGTAGTTATTGAACACAAGGGAGATAGTTAAATGGCAAAACAGAAGACTGAAGATGCTGGTTTTTGTGGGTTGTTAAAATCTTACTATGGATTATGGGAAGTTTCTAGTTCTGCACTTTTTCCTCCTGTAAAGCACATAGGCTGTCTGCTTATTGGTTGAATTTTTGGATTATTTCATCTTTTCAGATTTTGGTATGGAGTTTCAAGCAGTGGTGATGGCTGTAGGTGGTGGATCCCGCATGATGGATCTGACCTCAAATATTCCTAAAGCTCTTCTTCCTATTGGTAATAAACCTTTGATATGGTACCCACTCAACCTGTTGGAACAAGTTGGTTTTGAAGGTGAGCAGACTTGAATATGATATTTTGCTCTGTTAAGTAATGACATAACAAAAAGTCAAGGACACTATTTGCAGCAGTACTGGGAATGAGCTATGTCAATAAATCCAAGGAATTTGGCACCATAGCTGGAAGTCCAGTTAATTCAGAATGTCCCATTTGACTTCTAACATAATTTAGAAAAGGAGATTATATGTTCGAGACCATCTCTATATTTAAGTAAACATATACATATACAAGCACTTCATATAAAGAATGTACACATTGTATTTTTTCTTATCTTTTTTTCCTTCTGGGAATTTGATGTGAATATTAACAAAATAAGGGGGCGCAATGGCTCAGCTAAGCTTGTCAGCTAAAAAGCTGACAGGCTGGGTTCGAGACCTGAGCACCATACTGGGGCGAGCTCTATGCACCTTTGTCACATAGCCATGCTGGCCACATAATCAAAAATATATCTTTGGACAACGCTGGCTCCCTTGGCCAAGAAACGGAGATGAGCATCACGCTCCTAGAGTCAGACATGACTTGACATTTACCTTTTTATTAACAAAATCGAGCCATTGTTGTGGTTAAAGCATCTGGCTATGCTTTGAAACCGGCCTGAGTTCTAATGTAGCTCAAAGAACATTAAAGTAGTTTTGGAAGATCTGTGGGAAGCTTCCAAGAAGAAAATTGAGTGTGCATATATGTGTGCGTGTGAGAGAGAGACTGCACTAATGCCATATTTATATGTAAAGGCAGTGCAAACTACCCTTTCCTTTTACAGGGTTTATGTGAGAATAATATGCAATCTGTAGAATTGCAATTTGGAGGATTTTATTGATTTTCTCCAAACACTTCGCTCACTGATTATATTTTTCATCTAGAATTTTCATTGCTGTATACATGACATTATAAGCAAATTATATTAAACATTTCATTTCCTTTCAACATAATTAGTTTGGGTTAACTGGTATGGTTTATAATGGATATTTAGTGGGGTAATACAGTATTTCAAATTTCAAGGCAAAATGGATCCTCGGGGGAATGCACAAATATAGCACCTGTGTATAGTTGCTTAAAGCAGCTTGCTTTTTCGTGGAATTGTGCAGGAAAATGGTACAATCACAGGAAAAAGCATGTAATATACCGTAGTTGTATAATTAAGCTTGACTATAATATAGTTAGTGCTAGATTTTAATCTACCTCTCCAATTCTGTTATGCTGGTCAATGTTTTAACAATTCTTGGCTTAACCCAGTGTATGAGACCAATCATAGTATCACCTATGTTCATAACTAGTTTGTGATGAATTATATCTTCCATCTGCATTTACAGTCTTCTAAGAAAAAGGTCTGAACTATAGAAGTTTTAGTATAAATGGAATTGGATATGTCTAGTTTAATGAAGAGGACTAAGGCTGACCTCATAGCAGCGTTCCAATATCTAAAGGGTTGCCACAAAAAAGAGGGAATCAAGCTATTCTCCAAAGCAATTGAAGACAGAACAAGAAGCAATGGATGGAAACTAATCAATGAGAGAAGCAACCTAGAACTAAGGAGAAGTTTGCTGACAGAACAATTAATCAGTGGAACAACTTGCCTCCAGAAGTTGTGAATGCTCCATACTGGAAGCTTTTAAGAAGAGGTTCGACATCCATTTGTCTGAAATGATATAGGGTTTCCTGCCTGAGCAGGGGATTGGACTAGAAGACCTCTAAGGTCCCTTCCAACTCTATTATTTTGTTATTCAATCTCTTCTTAAAAACTTCCAGTGATGGAGCATCCACAACTTCTGAAGGCAAGCTGTTCATCTGGCTTGTCAGATGCTCTTTTCCAGTATGTCGTTTCCTTTTTAGGATAGTTTTTGTTAGAAATTCTGATGCTAATAGATTCTTATTCATGGTTCCTATGATTAGTAAAGTTTCTAAAGTTTCTAAAGCAAAGTTGGCAAAATAGGCTTATAAATAAGCACTAGGTTTTTTACAGGTTGTATCTCTTCTCTGAGCCAAGACTTTGCTTATAATGCATTTCCTAGAAATCTCTTTTATGTTAGTTATAAAACTTGTTTTTCTAAGCATTGCTCAAGTCAGATTTCTACCTTCAGTAATGTTCAAATGTCTAAACAAAAGATTTCAACCTCCACCACACCAAATTCCAGCCATGAGAATTTTTCCAAAATTATTTCCTTCTTTGAAGTAACTTCAAAACTGAGAAAAATGCAGATTTTTTTCTACTTGGACAGATTGGAAGAGAAAATTGACTTAATGAGAAACTGTCCAACCCAACCCCATTTCAAAATAAAATTCTCTTAATAAAATAACGAATTATTTCCTAAGAAGTCTATACTACTTGAACAGAAGTTTCCCTCTTACTGCCCAAAAGAAATAGACATTTAGCTCAAAGTTAAAATATTATTGGCAATGCATTCCATAGTCAGTGAAGTGATTCTAGGCTTAAAACAACCCAATTCTGAGATTTTTCCATTATGAATGAATTTGCCTAGCTATTCCCTTGTTGATCCAAAACTCCATTTGGATTTAATTCCAATGGAGATTAGATGTTTTGATTAACCCTATACATCATGTGGGAGTTCAAAACATCTGGAGATTACTATGCTAATCTTTGTTCTAGGTCATTCATAAATATAAATTTAAAGTGGTGATCTCAGTGCAACTCCCTGGGTGTCCCATTGTTTAGTTTCAACTATTGTGAAAGTTGACCATTTATTCCTAATCTAAGGTCTAAGCTAAGGTCTGCAAATCAGATAATTATAAATGAATAAAGAAACCTCCACTCTACTGTTAGTTTATTCAGAAAAAAGGTGAGAGATCTATCAAATGTGTTTTGAGAATCCCAATAATCAGTACATATGAATTTACTACTATCCACATCCACATTGGGACTCTCTAAAACAGTTTCTCGACTTGGCAATATATAAGGAATAAATGTAATCCTGAAAAGCTTGTGCTTTCTTAAATCCTTTAAAAAGTTGGTATTATGTTGGCTGTCTCTTTCTCTCTGTCTCTCTTTCCTCTTTCTCTTCTCTCCCCCCCCCCCCCCC